TGTGATCGGTGATACAAATGTCAGTCTAGATATTAACGTTATTGGCTGTGTCAGTTGTGGCTGTGACGCTTACACTTTGTATTGAAAGTATGCCCTGCGTTTGGTATTTAGATTTTTGTGCCTCAAGGTATAACCTGTTCTATGTACTTCCTTGTAAATCAACCAATTATTACACAATTGTTACTTTGTGAAAGCCTCTCCTTTGTTTCGTGTTAAATCCCAAACCAAAATGTACGTAATCCGTACACGATGAACAAGCAGTTGTAATATTTGTGTACGAGTTCAGTATGTGTGCTGACTGATTGTGTGTGATGCCATGCGATACCATCCTGGTGACATAGATAATTGCTCGTGTTATCAATCACTCGTTTATTTCGCCTGGTCACGACTCGGTTATTACAGGCGTGATGTAGCTGGAATAATCCGGAGTGGATCAAGACGTTACAAGCGTTCATCAAGTGTAATAACACATTTCATCAGGACCTAATCAAATAGACACGTAATGATCGGGGTTATGTCTTCAGTAACCCATGCTTGTCGTAAGAGGCGACTAACGGAATCGGGTGGTCAGGCTCGTGGAATTGGTTGGCACATGTCATCGTATACCAATTACGTAGATCGTTGCTCATGATGTGGATCACTGGATTGTATGGTCCAGACTCCATTCTTTACAGACCGCCTCCATTTAGCTGGAATATTGTTAGTGTGGCGTTAACCAAACAACAAACCAACAAACCTAATCAAATACGCACTCATTGATCCACCTTTCGAATCAATAATCGCTTCATTAGGACATAATATAACAATTCACCTAGTCTTTCCAATCAGTTAAACGCGGTCATTTATCGTTTTATTGACAATCCATGGCATGTGACGCTAAACGCCGTTATTTCATTCATTCACACCGAGCGTACAATGTAGCATTAGTAAACATAGTTGTTTGCAAAAGCAACTTTAACAGGAAATTAAAGCATAATCATCCGAAACGAAAGAAATATTGTTTTGTTTCCATCTGACAGAAATATAGCAAATGTTTCATTTTACTGACAGTGATCTTCGTTCACGCGACACTGTGACGCAATTTCACACCTGACGTGTCGCGATTACGACATGACACATCACAAGTGATTTATCTGAAGAAAACACTCCCAGCTGGGGGTTGAGTAGGGGGTCGGGGTGAAGAATCATTTATTTATAATCACCATCAATGACAAGTCATTATTTACCGTCAACGTTGTGTAATAAATATACTGGCGATTTTGGGTGTAGAATGACAACTGGTTTATGAAGAAAAAACACCCGTGGCGAAACGTTTCCAACGCCTGTTAATCACATATATGCTGCTGCATGCTCCGGAATGTGATCGGATGCATTGTCCGGATTCACGTTGTGTACATTCTTCTGTGGATGTAAGTATTTCTCAATACAAAAGGTAAGTAACATGACCAAGGGATCAATAGTTTGAATTGTTTGGTTGATGGTAATGTCGGTTTTGAACAGTATTTCAATCAGGTCATTGCACATCGTGTTACGCAGTTTGTAAACCACTTGGGTGAAACCCACGAACAGGCGTTAAGACAAAATATGTAGGATCCGAACCAACGATTGGCGGATCTTGACAAGAAAAGGGACGCAACTCTGATCTGCAAATCAATAGCGGCGTCCCATATATATATATATACATATACATATACATACATACATACATACATACATACATACATACATACATACATGAACATACATACATACATACATACATACCGATATATATATATATATATATATACCAGAAATGGGCTTCAAACCATGGTCTATATTAAGAAATGATGAATTAAACAGTTCACAGTTTCCGTTGTATAAGGTGTAGTAAAAGGCTAGTGAACGTCATTGCATCTAACATAAACACCTAAATCGGTACTCGCTACGCGAGGAAAGAAGTTTTACGCCGCTTTTAGCAATATGGCAATATCATTGACTGGAAGATTGCTAAGGAAGACGTACAACTGTTTTCAACAAAGTGTAATCGTCCATCAAAAAAAGCCCGCCTTACGTACGTACGTATGCACACCTATATACAAACATACGTACATGTATGTTATATATTGAGTAATGTCTGGAATCAATATTTGTTTGTATTCACATCAGGGATTTATCACAAAAACATGGAATTGGTATTACCGCTATTTGTGAAATGATATATAATACCAGATACGGGCTAGTTAAGGAGACCACGTGGCCCTGTAAAGAACTTCATGCCATTACAATGAATATCAATTTCATCGTATAAAGAAATAACACCCAGAAACACGCCTGTCGCAGCCCTATCGTGTGTCGTTTTAAAAGTGGCGCTTGTAGATTCCTGTCCACGTTTCCATGTTACGAATATAAACAACACTCTTGGTCATGTATCTCAATAGATATATGGGTTGTTATCAAAATATGGAATCAGAGGGTGATGGTGAAACATGAAATAATGAATTCCATTTCAACATGATTTTTGTTGCTGTATACAGATATTACCAAAGTGACTGAGTGAGTGAGTGTGGTTTTATCCCGCTTTTAGCAATATTCCCGCAATATCACGGTGAGGACACCAGAAATGGGCTTCACATACTGTACCCATGTGGGGAATCGAACCCTGATCGTAGGCGTGACGAGCGAACGCTTTACCACTAGGCTACCCCGCTGCCCCTATTTCCAAAGAATGACTACGTAAATTCTGCAGTTAAATTTCTTCTTGTTGTCCTATGTATATGTAAAGCGTTTTACGGTCCAGTGTCCGAAATAGTTTCCAAATTTTGCTAGCCAGTCGTGCTAGCTATGTCTGAAAGTTTTTAGCCCACAAAATAATTAACTAGCCCGAAATTTGAATGTAGACATGGGTTTCATTATTAAACTGCTAATGTAATGAACATTTTTATCAGGCCATAATCTTGCATGATTTAAAAGTGTATTATAACTTAACAAGTAGTAGAGAGTGAAATATTTACAAAATGACCCCATGAAAATTCACTAGCCAGTCGGGCCAGTGTCAGTGGAGATTTACTGGCCCGACTGACTTTTCACTAGACACGGGCTAGCGGGCCAGTGGCTATTTCGCACAATGGTTTTACCCACACGGAGTGCGTCCTCGTTAATATTGAATGTAAATTTATGAGAGAGAGAGAGAGAGAGAGAGAGAGAGAGAGAGAGAGAGAGAGAGAGAGAGAGAGAGAGAGAGAGAGAGAGAGAGAGAGAGAGAGTCAGAGAGAGAGAGAGAGAGAGCGAGAGAGAGAAGGGGCTAGGTATATGAGGAGATCAAGACAAAGCAAAGTTATAAATTCCCATGGCTAAACTGGCCTAGATAAAGAAAGAGAAACCCAAATAAATGAAAGACAAAACTAAATAACATCAAAAGTCAAAATTAAAGCATTTGATTAATAATCTTTTGAGTCAAGGTATATCACATATATCCCATCTTCTCAAAAATTGAATGTCATTACTCTCTAAACACAAAGTTTCTACGCCAATGTTTGAATGTGCAGAATGAAAATCAGGTATTTGCCCTACACACTATCATTTGAATGTTACTGCATATTAATCTAAAGTGAAACAAAACCCGTTTAAAGAGCTATAAACATAATGCCCATGACGAATGATATCAGCTACTTTGTACAGTTAATGTACAACCCCTGTTTGTACTTCTCTCTGGGTACAAGTCAGCTCCTAGCTCCATTGTCACCAGTATTTGTTCGGCTATGTGTTATAAATTCTGAATTTGTCAAGATGTGACCACCCATGACAGACTATGGCCAAATAAGAAGTAGAGAAGAGCTGTCATAAATTACTGTAAACCGTCGCTTGTACTTACTGAAGGCGGGGGCCTGTGTGTTGTGACGTTATGTCTGGGAAACCACTAGTAATAGTGAGTGAGTTTAGTTTTACGCCGGCCGCCTCTAGCAATATTCCAGCAATATCATGGCAACGGACATTAGAAATGGGCTTCACACAAAGCTCCCATGTGTGGAATCGAACCCAGATCATCGGCGTGACAAGCGAACGTCTAAACCACTAGGCTACCCACCGCCCCCACTAGTAATAGGTATGTTAGTAAAATATATCAGTTCTGTAGGAATGTGGAACATATCAACCTCGAGAAGGAAGTAATAAAAAACATTTCACTGGTAGCGTTATGTCATCATATTATGATTATTCAAAGTTTTGAGTAATTTGACTGATTGTTTTTAACGCCGAAGTCAATAATGGTGTAGCTGTATCAACGCTTTCAACATAATCGATTTTGTACCAGACAATCCAGTGACTACACGACAAGAGAAAGGATCGTCACCTCCACCAAAGTACACCAAAGTCTTTGTGCCTGGTCACTGTGATTCACATCATAGACTCTAGTGAAACAAATTCAACAAATATGGTGCTTGTTGCAGAGTCCCCCGTTTCGATTCAAAGGTCTTTATTAGCAATTTTTTATTTCGACAAATAAAAATCTTAAGCTGTGGGTAATTGTAATAAAATCATATAGAGCGAACATGTTTGCCTTTTCTTGTCAAATAACTGAAAAGGCCTTAATTTCACGATAACAGTAAATGTTAACTTTTTCAGATAAAGAAAAGGTGAATGTTGTATTTATTAAGTGACTGTTTTATTTTACTGATCATCAAGGTCTTAATCTGAAGACAACTTGGGCAGAATGAAAGTAAAACCAATATAAAGAGTTACTTCGACTGAAACATAGAGTGTTATATAATTAGATACACTATTAAATATTGGCAGAATTATAGATATCAGTTTCGCAAACGAACTTCTGAAAATATTAATATTTCGGTTGTAGACAAGCGAGAAACCAATCAGCGGAGATAAATTACACACAAAACAAACGAGTACATGGTTTAACCCTATATCACCAAAATGAGTGTTTTCACAACAATCAATCCGTCACGCTTTTATGATCACCCACCGGAAGTTTGCTGTGGACGCTGTGCATTGTGGGCAGGTTGGCAAGGAAAATATTATGGCGGCTGGGCACGCTCAAGTGTCATGTTTCTGTGAGAATATTAGATCAAATTGAATTATTCAGTGTTGAATGTCCATTCTGAACATTTACATGTCTCGGACTATCTATTCTTAGTGTTACAGAGTGATGTTTTCGATATTTTGATGGATTATGTCGTGAAATGCAGTCATGAACCACGACAAATGCTAACATTCCATTGATACCGCTGTGGCGATAGGGCACCTCATTGTTTTTATAACCATGTGGGGTGTTGCATGAATGGTTTTGGATAACACTTTTTGACAGTTATCTTGAACTCGGCATTACTGGTATTTCAAATGAACAAGTTCTGGCAAATGAATCGGGTAAGTACAGCACATAGATTGATACTCTGATAACATTACTGAGCCTAGAAGTCATATTGTTGTTGAGAATTTTAGGAGACGATGTTGTTCGTTAGGTATAAACTTGCACGCTGCTCAGTAAAGATTCAGATAATCAACCGACAATGTTTCCAGTTTAAAGAAACATGTATATCTGCACATGTATCTTTAAAAACAATTTTATCAAAAACAAGTATTAATCAATGGCGTTGTGTATTTCATATTAATCAAAGGGTAAAAGTAAAAGGTTTTTGGACCCCTTACATTATCTCTCCTGATCTATGATCAGACATATTTTAAATGTTTGAAAGTTGTTTTATTTCTTACTTGATCATTTTTAATGGTCTCTCCTTGGACACTTCCTATTCTTTTGACTTTTGAAGAATATTCTCATAAGTGTAATGGCAAGTACTGTAAAGTTATCATTCAGTGGAAATTTCACTATCAGCACATCTTTAAAAATAAGATATAGAAGTAATCTGGTAATATTGTACCACGACTAGTGGGTGCATTTCAAAGTGCACAACAACCATGATAATTTTCACTTTGCAGAGTTTGACTACTCATCATGCTCCTGCTAGTATCCAATATGAATTTACCATGTCTAGAATGTTACCTACTAACATATTAACAGTCAGTATGTTCTTGTTAAAGTCATCTGTCATCAGATTCGAAAATAATGCCTATAAACATGTTCTAGATGGTCTTCAGAAGACTCAGACTTTTGTAGACCAGGTTGAGTTTGTGAATTAGCTTATTTCTAATATTTCTTTGCTTGTCATCTATACCAAAACTTCAGGCAAGTATATATTAATTAGATTTTCATCCCTGCCCTGACACACGACATATGATTAAGCAGTTGCAAGTACCTACAAGCAAATCACAACATGTATTATTTGAGTTTCCTTTCTTGATGAATGAAGTAAACTATTCTGAGTCATGTTGATTGACAGCAGGCAGTAATAACATGTTTTCAACCTGTGAAATGGACCATTTTGTATGTTGCACCCATGTTGAGCTAGACTTGTCAAGTAAATCAGTCAGTTATGAACACATTTGCCTTGAAATGGTAATTTAATCAGGTAAAATATAAAAACTAAAATACCTCCTGTCTTACACATAGAAATATATTTGATGGAAATATAATACTACTATATTTGTGTGCATATTCACTATACTTTCATGGCAGCTGCCAAACATAGTACATATGATAAGGAGACATATATATATGTATAGGCATTATGCAAGATTTCTTAATGAGCCACAGGTCTTTTCAGAACACTGGGTTAATTCTGCTACTTCAAGTTCAAGAATTTACCAGCTTGTACTTTCCAACACAAATATGTGATTTAAATTGTTTCTTTGTAATTTCAGTCGGATCTTGTTCACAAATGATTCATCTTACAAAAGTGACTATTATATTTCTGTGTGACTGGTGTCTCCCACTGCCTACATTCTGTTGAAACATTATCATTTTTACATTTATCCAGCTATTGTTGTTGCATTCAATGCTTCAACTTTACCGATCTTCATGATCTTGTAAGGATATTTGGACATTGAAAAACATATTACTGATTTATCTTTTCCTCACACATTCAAACATGATTTAAACATTTTAGTTGATGAAAAATAACCATAGGTTGTTAATGCATGAACTGTTGAAAAGCATGTAAGAAAAATGCTATATATTTGCCTGTAAGACATTTTTACATGATTTTCACAAAAGATGCTTTAATTGTCATGACGATATTAAAGCCGAACCGTGATTACCTTTCTGCAATAAACATGACAATCAAATTAAAATCAGATCATAGTTCAGGCTACCATAAACAAAGATATGAGGACATCCCACTATGTGTCATGTCAGAACAACCTTTCATTCAGCAATCAGTGCGTCGCTAACCATGTCAAGACAGTTGGAATGTGCTTTCTTATCACTGAGAAGCTAAACTCAAGGTATTCCAAACGACAGTTAGGGGCTGTACGACTGATTCCAACAAAATCCTTTTCTATCTCTCAATTTAGTGGGATATACTTTTGAATAGAAGACTTTGCACACCCTGTGGGATGTTTTGTCATACAGTCATCTGTTAGATATTCCAGAAGGTTGTTGTTGTCCAATGTTCATATTTTGACTCAAGAACTATGGCAGAATATTTTTAACAGTGGAGTCAAGAATGGAAGTTACCAGTTTAAAACTAGTGCTGAATAACTCAAGAATGACACTTTTGTTTGGCTGATGTCAACTTCTTGTTAGTCATTTTGTTGGTCAGTCAAAGTTTACAAAAGGTTCTGATGTGTTGTAATATGTGATGTCCTCAGACGTCCTTCATTTAAGATCTGATTTTCATAAGTTTTACTAAACTTATAAACTAGTTCTGATTTAATTCGCTAAACCTTATGCTGTAACGATAGAATATTTTGGCAATGTTTTTGAGATGAGATGTAATAAGATAAGTACATATAGATAAGGTTGTCTCTACTTTTTTTGACAATCTTAACAGGGTGATGCTATCAACATATTACATTCAAAACATTGTTTACGTCAAAGCCAGTTTGCAAAATATATTTTTTATGAAATATTTCAATTACATTACTGGTATGTATTTCAACAATTGTCAGTTATTTGATGTGTCTTTTATTGATGTCAAAACCAGTAGCTGTTGTGCAATTTCATTTTCATGTGTACAAGTTACAAACAATGAAAACATGCATTTACGTGCAACAGAGCATTATACCTGCTGTAATACATACATAAACATTTCTTTGTTGGAAGTAATTGACAAACATTGAAATATATATTCATTTAATTTGGATATTTGATAAGAAATATCAGCTAACATTGTTAAAATTCCAAAATTTATGTAATAAAATACCTGTTAATGTTTATGAAGTTATAACTAATAATTTGGTCCGTAGAGGTGACTTCTATTTCACTGATAACTAGTGTTGGGAATTGGTTAAAATCTCATAATTGATGATTGGTTCATTACCACCGATCAATCATCGAAAATAATTGGTTAGCCTCATTAATGAAATCTGTTAAAGCACAAAAAATAAGGGAAAAAACATGTAGTTATTTTGTTTTTGGGCAAAATTTCACATCTTTAAAGGATGACTAGTATGCTAGGAACATAAATTTCTTGGTGTCTTTAAGATAAATTCAATCATGACTTGGAATGAGCTTGTAGTGCTTATGAAATGTAACAGACAAAACCAACCTTGTGAAAAATATTGTTGATAAAAACAAGTGTTCCAGAATTGTTTGTGTTCGATTATGAGAAAAGATGATCGATTGCTTGGTCGTTTAGTCACTGCGACCAATCTTCGATTATTTCAATTAATCGGACCACCACTACTGATAACAGGACAAAAAAATGATGACAAGTTTTCTGTGTTTACTATTAAGTTTGCCATGTTGAACTTCTTTGCATTGAAATTAATATCAAGTTGCTTTGGAATTTTAAGAAAATAAAATCTTAAATATATTCATTTGGTCAAAAAGTAATTCCCAACCTGCCTACCAAAGACACCTTTCTGTCCCAGATAAGTCACCGTGAAAGTCAATACATGTACCTATCCACTTTCAGATAGACACAAGTGTTCCTGAATTCTGTAAATGGTTCTGATTTAGTACTACTTTATTTCACCTTATGCACACAGGTAAACATATTTCATCGACTACATGTTAATGTCAGTATTTTCAAATCAGACACAAAATACTTGAAAGAATACAGACCAAAAGGTCAATTTAACAGTCACATTCTTTCTGCAAACTGTGTGAAATACTTTGGTACAGATTTTCTTATGAGGGGCTGGATCAGGTCCCATAACTCAACTGTTTGATAAGCTAGATGTGTTTACACTGGACAAATAGATAACTATAAAGTGCTGCAGTGCACTGGCTTGCTGGGTTGAAGGACCCCATGGGGTTAAGAAACACACATCACTTGGGAAATAATGTCGGCTTGATTGTAACGTTTCAATAGAATTTATGTCAGTGTTATGTGTCAAAGAAAGTAATGAAAACAGGAATGACTGTGTGGTTTTGGATAAGATTAGAATATTGCATGTCTTTGATGTGTAATTGTGTCAGAGATAGAGGCAATATAACCTCTAGTTTTAGTAGAGACCAAGGAATCTGAAGTGTTTAGTTTTTAACTGTAGTAACTGGCTGGTTCAATATTGTATTGTCCACAAGCTGCTGGTTGTTTCTGTCTTTGAAACTCGCTTCTTGTATTTCTAGGAATATGGGGATACATTAAGGTGTTCGAAATTAAGGCGTGTCTAGGGGTCATTGACCTATGATTCTTTATTATCTATGGTTTAAGGGAACCCCTAAAGTTTAAAGTTGTAACATGTACCGGTAGGTTTATGACAACTGACTTTCATGCTTAATTTCCAACACTGCCTTTGTTTAGACATTGGAGTGTTGATATGCACAATTCTTGTTTCCAAGTGATCTGAAAGGGACTGAAAATAAGCTTAATTCTGGTAGAAATTAACTAATTTGATGATTTTGCAGAATGTACATTTTGGTAACATCTGGTTTAGACTGTAACCTTGTAAATGGATTAGAAATTACTTATATTTTCAGTAGTGTACAAAAACTATCTGCTTCTAGTGTTGCCGTTTACAGAGTAGTTGAATTAGTGCATAAAACATGTCACCACTCCTTGAATTGTATTCATCTCAGACTAACTGAAAACTGATAATTTTGAAAACTACTGTCTACTGTAACCATGGTAACAGTGTATAATGTCATTCACTTGAACAATGTCTCATTTGATGAGATTGCTGTAGAGAATCAATTTCCAGACAGTTGGATAAGTCAAACCGTTTCTCTGGTATCATCAAGTACAATACAATGGTAATTACACTATAAGAAGCAGAGTCACAGTAAACTTTCACCAGATACCCCTGTCTGTTGTTGAGCCCTGTAAACAATGACATAACACAACTATATGGCCCTGTCTTAGCTCACACCCCATAGATAATTCACCAGTCTACTCCACAGCTTGCCTCTTCATATCTAGCCTGGGTACGGGGATCCACAGTACTGCTGAATAATTGAAGGTGTATTGACTTTTGATGGCTGCTTGTGCTTGGATGGGTACACCGTGTGTGTAGCTGACCGGTGGGGAGAGTGGACGGAGGTGGGAGGATTGAATGACCCGTGGTCACGTATGAGGTTATGGGTTGATTCATCTTTGGTATAAAGAAGAGTTCCTGAGAGGGAAGTCTGTTGATTAATCATAGGAATATTGACTGATGTTGGAATCGAAATGATGTGGCTAGGTGCACAAGAGTACTGTTGATTTGTTCTTGTGGGAAGAGAGTAGTAATTGTTTGTTTATTAAATACCACACTCAGCAGTTCCCCAGCTGTTTAATGGCATCTGCAGGAATAGTTTCAGAGATGGTATTTAGTTTTATATCATTTACTTATTGCAAACTATGTATAAGAACAACTATCTTGATTTTTTATTTTGGCCCTTGCTTTTCATTACACAGCAAATAAGGTAAATGTGAAACTAAACGATGGCGAACTTGTAAAATTTGTCAAGACCATATGTAAGAAGGTTTGGGGATAATCTGTCAAAGAACTTGATGATCCAAATTAGAATATATATCAATCACAATAAACATCTAAGTATTGCTATGTGTTGCTATACAAACGTCCAGGCAATACACATCTCCAGTTGTTTGTACTTGGGTTCTTCAGGGAATGACTCAGCAGTAATCATGGTGATATTTCTCTATCATAAAATATATAACAAGGATGGTTTCATAAATACAGAATGTTTAGGAAGGATTATCCAAATTTCAGAACTAATTGCCCTTTTTTAAAGGAAATTTAATTTTTTTTGTTTTATTAGAAGTGAGAATTTCTTTTATGTTCTCATTTTCTTTAAATCAGAGATAACTGATATTGAATTTGAATGTTAGATTCAATGTTAAACTAAGCATTAAAACCTTTTCCCTTTTTCTTGTTTTGTTATCAGCGAAATAATAGGCATCTCTACTACGCACACAATTATAACTTTAACAGCATAAACTAGGTAATGTCAGTTAATACTTTGCCCATTTCTGGTGTCCCCCACCGTGATATTGCTGGAATATTGCTAAAAGCAGCGTTAAACTAAACTCAGTCAGTCAGTCAGTTAATATTTGCTACAAACTACTTAGCAGGTCTTGATAAGTCCCATGGTTAAGTAATAATAGTATTAGCAGTGAAAATATAATCATGATAATTATAATCTAAATAATCCTTTCAGACATGTGTTAGTTCCAGAAATATATGATATATTTGAAGGTATATGGTTTCTGAAGTTATTTTGAATTGTAGTGTTATATTTTAAGTTTTGATAGTACTTGGCCTTGATCATACAGAGTGTGTACATTTGCTTCGATAGTAATGACTGGACACTCAATATGGTCACCTTGGTTAGAGATATTCAAAGATGTTTACAGCAGCCATGGGTTAGCAGATAGACTTGATTTCCTATAATCAAATAACATAACTAGCAATAATCATTATAATGTGCTGTGCCATCGTGTAGAAGCTGAAACTAGTGAAAGTGACAATTAGAATGATCAGAAAAGAAATATAATTTATTTTTTTTAAATTTTCCTTGTTTCTTTGATAACTATGAAGGAAACATTTTTCCCATAATGAACTAGTGCTGGCTATGGATATAGACCATAGAGATCGATTATCGTTAACTAAATATCAATCGATTATCAATAGATATCAGAGATGTAACTTTGAGGGAAAAGGCAAAAAATGTCTAAAACGAATATATTTCACATCACTGGTGAGTGGCGACATGTTTTTGCATGGATTATTAACAAGACAGTGTTGTGAACACAATTTAGAAGCTGACGATGAATAAAGTCCTAAATCTGTATATTGTGTGAGAAAATTAAAATATTATCTATCACAAAAGTTAATGTACAACATTATCGATAGCAGAATTTTCATATTGATAATCATTAATAATTTTTCTATCAATGATATTTCTGATTATCGATCATTTTAGCCAGCCCCATAATGAACTGGACATGTGTCCAAACACAGACATGATTCTTGACAAATTACTGGATATGAACCAATGGAACACTTGATCCAAGGCACTTTAAAACATGGCACTGCTGTAATCTGACTCTTAAGAGGATAAGTATTAATGGTGGGTTTGATTTTGAGTATCTGCTAATCCAGCTCTTGTAACCATGGTTACAATAACATTATGTAAGAATGTCTGGCAACTGGTTTTCAGATTTCCATTTGTCCATCAATAATGTATGATATTGCTGATCTAAGAATTGGGTGCATATCCAGACGGGTTCCCAATATGGGTTCAGCTTTTGTGTTGTTGATTGTGTTGACCTGTATTGTAACAAGGGCAGACCTTGTATACATTATAGATGACCTGCAGTTGTCAGTGCTCACAGTCAGGTCAGGGCGGCAGGGGGTGTTCTCTTCATATCGTACTTATCCTAACCTGCTTGTGTGCCACCTATTTGTGCGAGATAAGCTTGTCACCTGAGTATTAGTTCTGTGGTCTTGCCTTTGGCAGATTTCACCTTCATGGGTAATATACTCTGATGTTGATATAGGGATCAGAGGTCATGATTGTACGTAGTTGAAGGCAAGGTGGCACTGGCAGGCTGAGATCGGTCTGAATATAATTGTTGAGAATCGCTAAGGATTAAGTGAAGATTGGAAGACATTTTTCTCAAACATAATATTGGTGGTTTTAGAGTTAATGGAGTTTCTGAGACAAATAAATTGAATGTAGTGAAATAAACACCAGCCAATCTGATTAATATGATACTCTAAATTGTAGAAATAATGTTCATGTTGATCTGGATTAAATAAGAACATGAAGTAGATTTAGTTTTAAACATCATCTTGAAATGGATCCTTGGTATCCTTCTCAGATAATCTTAGTGTTGTCAATACTTTTTTTATAGACATGAATGAATGGTATAATCGATTAGTGAACTGCAATTTCCCTGTGTGTGCCAGAAAACCTATTATTGTTAACCCAGGGTATGGTCCTTGCCCAGATTATGGTCCAGATTCTGGTCTTGGCCTAGGTTATGGTCCAGATTATGGTCCTTGCCCCGGTTATGGTCCAAATTTTGTCCTCACCCAGGTTATGGTCCAGATTTTGTCTTTGCCCAGATTATGCCCAGATTTTGTCCTTACCCACATTATGGTCAAGTTTTGGTCCAGATATTGTCCCTCACCCAGATTATGTCCTCACCCAGATTATGGTCCCTTGCCCAGATTATGGTCCAGATTTTGTCCTTGCCCAGACTTTGGTCCTTGCCCAGATTATGGTCCTTGCCCAGACTTTGGTCCAGATTTTGTCCTTACCCACATTATGGTCCAGATTTTGTCCTCACCCAGATTATGGTCCTGATTTTGTCCTTGCCCACATTATGGTCCAGATTTTGTCCTTGACCAGGTTATGGTCCAGATTTTGTCCTCACCCAGATTATGTTTGAGATTTTGGCCTTGCCCAGATTATGGTCTTTGCCCAGACTTTGGTCCTTGCCCAGATTGTGGTCCAGATTTTGTCCTTGACCAGATTATGGTCCAGATTTTGTCATTGCCCAGATTATGGTCCTTGCCCCGACTTTGGTCCTTGCCCAGATTATGGTCCAGATTTTGTCCTTGCCCAGATTATGGTCCTTGCCCAGATTATGGTCCAGATTCAGTCCTCGACCAGGTTATGGTCCAGATTATGGTCCTTGGTTTATCAGCTACACCCCAACTTGGGGGTATCACTAAAACCTCAACCTGTATCAAACTGACACACCATGTTACAACTGGAACAATGATCAAATCTGTAAACAAAACTCCTACTCATTCATTCTATAGTCTGTGTTAAGTGTAGGAGAAGGCATCACACTTCACATGCTTCATGCTGAATAGAAATACCTGTTTATGTCAAATAACAGATGACCACACATGAAAATACAAACATTGAGATATACAAGCATAACTGTGGATAGTTTCATTCTTTCTTGAAAAACAAGGCCACATTTACAATTTCCTTGATTTACAATGATTTAGCACAGACTTCAGACAATCTGAGATCACCTGTAGTGTACCCGGATTGATACAGATATACTGTATACATGAAGTATAGGGTTTTTTGGGGGTACATTTTGTCCTTGTGGTAGGAAGAATCGTCAAATATTCCTATTTCCCTAACAATTAACATGTACAATGTGAGATGCTGAAAATGAGCATCTGTTGGGTATGTTTATATGGTGATGCATTTATACACAGATTACCTAGATCTGCCCAGAGGCCAATATTCAGCCCATAGTCTGCAGCAATATACAAAACTTATTCCCATAGTGGAATTCATGATTTCCCTTTCTTATAAATATTGTGGTAAAGAAGATAACCTATCATGTCAACATGGTTAATGTTAGGTACTAAATCTCTTCACTGTGGTATTGTGTTCAGAACATGTGGTATTTTATCATCACAAGTACACAGTGTTTCTTTGTTATATTTGTAATGCAGTAGCATAAGTATGTCATTGATCATTTTCAGATTTTTGCAGTCTTGACAGATTGGTTCAAATGTGTGTGTTTTTATTACAGAACATCTAAGGAGGTCTGTCTTGTGAATGGATGCATCCTGAAAAACACTGCTATGTGATGAACAAATACGAAATATTGGGGGTTGTAGGTGAAGGTGAGTTATCTGTTTCTATGGTTACCATTGATTACGAAAAAATTCAAATTTCGTGATTTGAATGTGATCGAAACAGTCCAATTTTGTTCTAGTTATAGAATATTTTACTCTATCCTTTGATCCTGATATATGGGACAGTGGTGTAATGATCAAGACTTAAATACGGAAGTCAGTGAAAGAAGATATATAAACTGTGGTACTGAACTATGTTTTTCACTTCAGAATGACATTAGAAAATATTCCTTTTCTTGTATACTTTCAGGTGCCTACGGTGTGGTCTTGAAATGCCGACATAAGGTGTGTATATTTTGTCTGTTTTGTCTCTCTTCCTTCCTTGGTCCTCATTCCTGACACCCTCTGTCCCCATTGCTCTGACTATTTCTGTTTGCCATTACTCCTACTCTGTTTCCAACCCTCACTGGTCTCCATTACTGATACCCTCCATGGACCCAATTTTCAGATACTTCCTGTTTGCCATTGCACCANTGATACCCTCCACTTCCAGGCACCTTCTGTTGGTCCCATTCCTGCCAATCTCACTGGTCCCCATTCCTGATACCCTTCCTTTTTACCCATTCCTGACACCCTCAGTGGTCCCCATTCCTGACACCCTTCCTGGTCCCCATTCCTTGACACCCTCACTGGTCCCCATTCCTGACACCCTCACTGGTCCCCATTCCTGACACCCTTCCTGGTCCCCATTCCTGACACCCTCCTGGTCCCCATTCCTGACACCCTTCCTGGTCCCCATTCCTGACACCCTTCCTGGTCCCCATTCCTGACACCCTCACTGGTCCCCCATTCTTGACACCCTCACTGGTCCCCATTCCTGACACCCTTCCTGGTCCCCATTCCTGACACCCTTCCTGGTCCCCTCCTTGACAGATATTCTTCTTGATGGTTGGAAATAATAGGAGATGGGAGATATAGGACAGATATATCTCATATGTGTCTTGCTAAGGCTGCAAATAAGATGGCCAAAAGGAGGCAGAGAATTGATCTTTTTCTTGTGATTACCACACCACTTTTCCTATATAGTATTAGATCATACTTCCACACCATGCAGCCAAGCACTGATTGTGATAATGTTGAGATATACACCTTAACTCATTCAGTTTCTCTCCATGTCAAACAGTAGCATGTTGGTATGACGTCATTGACAGTGTGGGGGGAGTTTGTTCCACCTCTAGTTAGTGTAGAAATCAATCTCCAATCTAGAGGCAATTAATCTGTTGGGAGGGCATCACCTAATGGCCTGTGTTGGTGCCCCATTGTTGTGGAAACATCAGTAGATTCTGCAGCCTGCGTATACTTGAGCTGCTCAATAATGCAGCAAATAAATACATAGTGCAGAGGTGCAAGTCAGGGTGTAGCTGACGTAAGGCTGGCTTCACGGCTTCCTTTGTGTAATCCAAGGGATTAAAAACTGTCAGAAAATGACGATCGGAGGATCAACATTGACCTGCATTATTAAACACGGGAAAGGTTGAGATGTGGTGCAGATAGCATGTAAAATATTTTGTTAGAGTTGTTGATTCATATCTGTCAAGAATGTTAGTTACCCTGGAGTTTTCTTCACTGTTCACAGCTGTGGCATTGCTGGGCGGGTTATTGTTTGGTTGTTTCTGTATGAGAAAGTTTGGAGAGTTCATGGAGTCATAATGGGTCTGTGGGAGTAATACTGTTGGTAATATATTGTTGAGGCATAGTAACCTTTAAAAATATGTACCTTGGTATTATGAGATGTGACGGTCTAGACTTACTGGTAAGTTGGATGGGATTACATCAACCACTGCCTATTTATGTATTAATAAGTGTAAGGTGTGTCAAGAAGTTATCAAGAAATATACTTCCAATATTTGGACATGAAAATATCTTGATGATATTGGTCTATAGCTGGAAATCATGTTGGTTTAGTTGTACTTAAGTACTGGATCATTTCAATTTAGTTGTATTTAGGCTGGATCATGTCAGTTTAGTCGTATTTAGGTACTGGATTATGTCGGTTTAGTCCTACTTAAGTACTGGATCATGTCAGTTTAGTCGTATTTAGGTACTGGATTATGTCGGTTTAGTCCTACTTAAGTACTGGATCATGTCAGTTTAGTCGTATTTAGGTACAGGATTATGTTGGTTTAGTCCTACTTAAGTACTGGATCATGTCAGTTTAGTACATATTTAGGTACAGGATTATGTCGGTTTAGTCCTACTTAAGTACTGGATCATGTCAGTTTAAACGTATTTAGGTACAGGATTATGTCGGTTTAGTCCTACTTAAGTACTGGATCATGTCAGTTTAGTTGTATTTAGGTACTGGATCATGTCAGTTTAGTTGTATTTAGGTACTGGATCATGTCAGTTTAGTCATATTTAGGTACTGGATCATGTCGGTTTAGTCGTATTTAGGTACTGGATCATGTCAGTTTAGTCATATTTAGGTACTGGATCATGTCAGTTTATTCGTATTTAGGTACTGGATCATGTCAGTTTATTCGTATTTAGGTACTGGATCATGTTGGTTTAGTCGTATTTAGGTACTGGATCATGTTGGTTTAGTCTGACTTAAGTACTGGATCATGTCAGTTTATTCGTATTTAGGTACTGGATCAGTTTAGTCATGCTTATTAGACCAAAACTGAGCAATAAGCCCCATTGTCAGCCATTTGTAAGTGTCTTATTAGTTTCATGTATTGAGTTACTTTAAAATGTGATATGTTACAATTATCCTCTGAACAGGAAGCATGTCTACCTAGTATTACCTTGTGTATTCAGCATGTTCAATGAGAGTTGGGGTAATTGCGCTAGTAATGATGTAACCTAATGCTGATAGTCAACTAGTTAGGTTTATGTATGTCCCGAAGTCATCATTTCTAAACATCTGTGTCTAGGCCAGTATGAAACCCAATCACCATGTTCTTGGATGATATTCAATTAAAATGAGAATGTGATGGTCATGATGGCCTCTGAGTTAGGACATAAGAGAACTATTAGCTGTATCCTTGGTAATATGCCTGTATCATCAGTCATGATTTTATCACGATTGTTTCAATAACTCAAATTTGAATTTAAATGTATTGGATAACAATTTCAGTGACAAGCTTTAAGAAATTAAGCAAAACACAATCCTTGTTCTGTTGTATTTGAATTAAGCTGACAGTAATACAAGGTATCTATAACCTGCTGTGCCCCTCTTGAACATGTTGAAGACAATCTGCAGTAATACAAGGTATCTATAACCTGCAGTGCCCCTCTTGAACATGTTGAAGACAATCTGCATCAAGTCGAGTGGTATATGGGATTGAGTGTAAACACTACATACCAGCATGCCTAGGCACCTGGACATTGCATATGTTATGGATCTGCTTGACGTTACGAGGATCGCTCTTTGTCTAAGTGCCTAACTATGTAAGGCAGTGGAGTGTTCTCTTCAAAAGCATCAATGTTGTACCTGCCTGGCTTGTGTCGTAGACGTAGCAACAGTCACAACACCATCTTGTCATGCATGATGTTGCTGTCTTGAGATGTATTTATTTGAAAATATTTATGCGGGTGGTTATTTGCTTTTCTTAAGAATGGTGTCAGCTGGAAAATATGCTTAATGTAGCTGTGAAAAAACCTTTGAGAGGCATTGCACATCAATTAGACATGGTACACGGTGTGTTGGTGCATTTGAACCAACATACCAAAAACAGACTAAAACAATCAAAGTATATCTTTGAGATAAGTATATCCCACTTTGACATGAGTATATCCCTCTCTGACATGACTGTATCCTATTCTGACATGAATATATCCCACTCTGACATGAATATATCACTCTCTGACATGAATATATCCCACTCTGGCATGAGTATATCCCACTTTAACATGAATACATCTAGGGCTGGGACGATTCACCGATGCACCGATACATCGCGATACATTAAAGTTTGATACAGCTATCGTATCGTCAACTGGTGTATAGATACAAAACGATACACAACTTTTTTTAAAAATGGTATTATCTTAAGCTTTATCAAGTTCATATTTAGAAAAATACGCAAGTATGATAGAGTTACTTGTTTGTTTATTACAATATGAAATGAATCATTTTAAATCTTAATACTCTGTCATTCCTTTTACCTGTGTCGCGGGTAAAATATCGCAATATGTATCGTATCGTGACATAGTGTATCGTCCCAGCCCTAAATTAATCCCACTCTAATGCAAGTCTCTGACACAACAATATCCCTCTCTGACATAAATATATCCCACTCTAATGCAAGTCTCTGACACAACAATATCCCTCTCTGACATGAATATATCCCATGTTGACATGAATATATCCATACTCTATATCCTCTGACAATATCTCTCTGACACAATATATATCCCTCTCTGACATGAATATATCCCTCTCTGACATGAATATATCCCTCTCTGACATGAATATATATCCCTCTCTGACATGAATATATCCCCCTGTCACTTGAGTATATCCCTCTCTGACATGAATATATCCCATGTTGACATGAATATATCCCTCTCTGACATGAATATATCCCTCTCTGACATGAATATATCCCTCTCTGACATGAATATATATCCCTCTCTGACATGAATATATCCCTCTCTGACATGAATATATCCCTCTCTGACATGAATATATATCCCTCTCTGACATGAATATATCCCCCTGTCACTTGAGTATATCCCTCTCTGACATAAATATATCCCATGTTGACATGAATATATCCCGCTCTGACATGAATATATATCCCTCTCTGACATGAATATATCCCATGTTGGCATGAATATATCCCGCTGTGACTTGAGTATATCCCTCTCTGACATAAATATATCCCATGTTGACATAAATATATCCCACTCTGACATGAGTATATCCCTCTCTGACATACATATATCCCATGTTGACATATATATATCCCACTCTGACATGAGTATATCCCTCTCTGACATACATATATCCCATGTTGACATATATATATACCACTCTGACATGAGTATGTCACATTCTTTCATAAGAATATCAAAACATAGCATGAGTATATCCCATGCTGACATGGATATATTCTCACTCTGACATTAGAATATCCAAGTTATGCCTGAGCATACCCAATCTTGAGATTTTCCAGGCTCACACAGTCTTTGTTAGGCCACAACCCACGTACGTTCAAATGTTTACTGTTATCACAAATCACTCATATCCACATAAACATGTAACACAGACCCGTATAAAATGACAATGGGTGTGTGTTAGGGAAGCAGTATTGAATTAAAGGGGATTGTTTGCCATG